ACCGCCTCCACGAGCCAGGCTCGGAGCCGGTGGAGAGGCCAGGCGGCGTGGTGCGGCTGAAGGTCAGCCACGCGCGCCCCAGGCGTGCGGACCCACGCCGAGATGAGCACGGGCCGGTCCGCGGACTCGCCCAGCACGGGTTCCACGCTGTCGGCGGCAGCGGCAGCCGCGGGTGGCGCCACCGGCAGCGCCAAGACCGACGCCTCGGGCGCCGCGTCACCACCCGCCGCCGCCGCACCAGCAGCAGCAGCATATGCCGAGGGGGCCGCTCCGCCAGCCGTCGGCGCCGCCACAGCAGCCGCACCAGCTGGCTCCGCGGCCGCGATCGCCGCTGGGCCGCCGAGCCGACGCGAAACCCGAGGAGGGAGATCATCAGCCCAGGCGTCGTCCAGCACGTCATCGCCGTTGACCTCCATGTGGGGCTCGGCCACGGTCGCAGCAGCAGGGGCCGCAGGCACGTCGCCAGCCGCGCGCCGCGCGGCACGGCGACGGCGGCGGCGCCTGCGCCGCTCGGCATGAGCCGCGGGCGCGGGCAGGAGGTCCGTCACCACGTCCACCATCGCGTCCAGCGCCACCAGCATCTCCAGGCACCGCGCCCAGCACAGCGGCTGCCACGGCCGCACTGGCGACGGCGGCCAGGGAGCGCGGCGGGGCCTTGGCGAGGGCAGCCGCGCGGACCGCCGCCTCGACGAGGACGGCGGCCTCGCGCACACCGAGCCCCATCCAACGTGCGAGGTGCGCGCGGCCGAGGGCGCGCGAGCACTTCGAGCAAATGGGTACGGATGCCCAAACCCCACGAGATCCCCGAGGGGGGACGTGGGGCTTGAGCCAAAACAAAATGGCAACGGATTCTCCTCCTCCTCCTCCTCCTCCTCCTCCTCCTCCTCCTCCTCCTCCTCCTCTCACCTCCTCCTCCTCCTCCTCCTCCTCGTCCTCCTCCTCCTCCTCCTCCTCCTCCTCCTCTTCCTCTCCCTCCCCCTCCCCCTCCTCCCCCCCTCCTCCTTCTCCTCCTCCTCCCCTCCTCCCCCTCCTCCTCTCCTCCTCCCCCTCCTCCTCCTCCCCTCCTCGTCCTCGTCCTCGTCCTCCTCTCCTCTCCTCCTCTTCCTCCCCTTCCCCCTCCCCCTCCTCCCCCTTCCCTCCTCCTCCTTCTCCTCCTCCTCCTCCTCCCCTCCTCCCCCTCCTCCTCCTCCTCCTCCTCCTCCTCCTCCTGCCCCTCCTGCTCCTACTCCGCCTCCTCCTCCTCCTCCTCCACACAGGAGGAATATTCAAACATAGTGAAAACATACTCTGGGCACGACTTGTCCACGATTGTTGACCATGTTTAAGTATTGTTTGACTAGTCTCTTTCTTCCCCCAAATCCGAGTGTAGGGGGACATGCCCGACCTAATCCTAGAAGCCCTCCTGTCTTCAAGCTGGGAGGTTTTTGTTGACAGGCTCTCGGCCCCTTCGAAGAAGCACCCTGCCTTCTCAGAAGGCCCCCCCACACCCCAGCCCTGTTTGTGCGCGCCAGGAACACTTCAAGGGCCGCCGGGTTCCAGAGAGAAGCTACCTCGAGGCTAAGAGCGAACCATTTGGCGCTTTTCTTCCGTTCCCTGAATATCGAGTGCGATACGGGACCCATCTGCATTCTACAGTGGTAGCACATGCCAAGAAACACCCTGCTTGCCTCCAGGGTGCCCTGGGCTTCTTGAGTTCGATGGTTCTGCTATGGAAAGCTTGACGTTCCCAGACCAAACATCTGACGTCCTGGGGTCTCAGGGTCGGGTGTCTTCTGGAAGGGCTCTTGTGGTCGAGCCCCTGCTGCAAGAGCCCGCTCCTGCGTCCCGGGACGAGAGAGTGTGCCGCCGCGCCGCGCCGCGCCGCTCGCCGCGCGCCGTTCCTCGTGCCCGCGGCCTGGGAAGCTCGAAAAGCACGAGCCACGCTGCCGCCCGCCCTGCCGTGCCGTGCCCGAGCGCCGTGCTGCGCCCGCGCGCTGCGCGTGCTGCGCGCCACGCCGTGCCGCGCGCCGTGCCGCGCGCCACGCCGTGCCGCGCCGCGCCCGCCTGCCGCGGCGCGCGCGCTCCCTGCGATGCCCGGCATCGCTCGGACGCGCGTGCCTGTCTTCCTCGGCGAGAGCCCTCGATCGGGAGCGGAAAAGAGGGGGGGGATGACTAGGGGGGGGATATCATGGCGGGGGCCATGATATCTCCCCAGATTTCATGGCGCCTCTTCTTGTCTCATTACGTCCCTGGCCCCCCCGCTGGGCCGCGCACGTGCCGCCAGCCATGATTTGCACCCCCCCCTCTTGGACACACCCCTCTTGGCCGCTCCCGAATCCTGGACCATCGAGCAGCAAAAATCATCCCAGTGCGACCCTACCTAGGAGTTGGAGCCTCTAGGAAAGCAGCATTCGTAGGAGCGGCGTGGAACCCTCGAGGACCATCCTGGACCCATCGAGCAAACAAAAAAAAAACGAGCACGAGGCCGAACACGTGCACGGGACGTGGAAGTCCGAGCGGCGGTCACCGCCCGAGGAAGAAGAACGGGCACACACATACCGTGGAGGGCCTCCACTGTCAACGTTTCTTCGCTCCGCGCGGATTTCTTGGATCCACGTTGCTGCCTCTTGGTTCGCAAGGTCGGATCTCAGGGAGGGGGGGGTGTAGAGAGGGGGGGGTAGCGAGCTAGGTCACGTGGCTGGACATTCCCGGTTCCTCCCGGGCTGGTGGGCGCCAGTACATCGAGGAGAGGCGCCCCCCCCCCCCCGGCGGCGCCTCCGGCGCCGCCCCTGGCGCGCTCCGCGCGCCAGGGCAGGGGGGGGGTCCGGCGCAGATCCAAGAAGTCCGCGCGGACCGTCGAAAGTTTATGTTTATGCGGTTCTTTCTTCTTTGGACCACGCGTCTTCTCATGCAGTGTTGCTGGCTGGGGTCTCTGTACCAGTGCAGCTTGGGCTCTCCTAGGGGATCCTAGCCTTCTAGCTGCATAGCTCCCTCGCTGCAGGGGCCCAGGGCCCATGTGCCCCTTCCATGTCATTGCCGCGCCCCTCTCGTGTGCGCCCGCTTCTGGTGAGCTGCGCGCTGCCAGCGCTGCTTCTCCCAGGAAGCTCTCTCGACTCTCTAGGCGTTCTAGCTCGCCGTGCAGCCACACGTGGGGTGGAAGGCGAAGTCGGCGGGAGATCTCTTCGAGCATGCCGGGCCGCTTCCGCCGCAGATGGCATTGTCAGCGACTTTTCGGGGAAACGTACGACTCGAGTAAGCCGGAACTCGGGTTTGCCAACGTTTTTCGATTAGCGCGTCCTGGATTTTAATGGTCCAGCTTTCGTGGGATGTCTGCAGCGGGAGCTCGCGTCAATTTTCAGTTTTGGTCTCGCCATTTTTATGATGGCCCCGTCAGGCCAACCCGAGTCCCCTGTACCCTAGTCTTACGTCTCCCCGAGCATTACCAGCAAGGAGGCAGTTGCTGTATCCCTTGGCGACAGCGGGCGTGACCACGGGGGACAAAGGGGTGCGCGGCGAGAGAACTGCGTGCTCTTGAAGCCGGATCCGGCTTAAGAAGCTGCGTGTTTTTGAAGCCGGATCCGGCTCAAGAAGCTGCGTGTTTTTGAGGCCGGGTCCGCAGTTCGCTTTGGGGCCATTGGCGTCGGCCGGCTCGCTCCGCCGCCGTTCCTGGGAATGCCTGGGGCTGGCTCCTTCCCGGGCGGCGCCAGCGCGAATCGCGACGTGGCCAGGGGCGGGGGGAAGGGGGGGGGAGGAGGAGGAGGAGGAGGAGGAGGAGGAGGAGGAGGAGGAGGAGGAGGAGGAGGAGGAGGAGGAGGAGGAGGAGGAGGAGGAGGAGGAGAGGACGAGGACGAGGACGAGGACGAGGACGAGGAGGAGGAGGAGGAGGAGGATGCGCAGGGGGGAGGGGGAGAAGGAGGAGGAGGAGGAGGCGGATGAGGATAAGGAGGAGGAGGAGGAGGAGGAGGAGGAGGAGGAGGAGGAGGAGGAGCCGGTCACGAGCGTTATCGCGATGAATGACAGCGGTCTCGTTGAACGCACCGCGCAAGATGCAGCTTGCGGGCAACGCGCATCGTGTTCCCGCCGACGGGAAGCTCATTCCGAGCGTGGTTGCCCGCTTTCGGTGAGCTTCGCGCCACCACGTTATTGAAGCTCAGTTGCCGGTATCCTTCAACTTGAGGGCTTGAGGGTGTTCCGCCAGTCGACTTGTGGGGATCAAGTTGGATAGAGAAAGGTACATGCTGATACATCGAGGTACATATCGATCAATGTTGGCAGTTGTTGCTAAATTCCAATGGGTCCAGAGATCTCCATGGAATCGTTTAGCAAATCACGGCCGATCCAGCACGAGTCGAGGGACGGCAGAAGCCGTTAGTTTCGCCATTCACGGCAGTAAGCTCTCTCTGAGCGTTCCCGCGTCCAGCCGCAGGTGGGGTTGCAAGCGATGCCGGGGGACGTTCACTTCGGGTGTGTTGGTCCGTTTCGACGCACATTGCGTTGTTGCGGTTGGTGCCGCGGTGCAGGTTCCGAGCGTGTTTGCTCGCGTCTGGCGCACATTGCGGTGCCAGCGCTGCCGACTGTCAGCACATTTCTAGCGTGCTGGCTCGCGTCCAAAAACACGTGGGGTCAAAAGCAATATTTGCGGAGCGTTCATGTCATCTGTCATTTTGCTTCTTGCGCACACAGCGCTGACGCGTTGTTGCCAGGAAGCCCACTCCGATCAAGCCGCTGCCTCACAATGTATGTATTGAGCTGCGGTGCTGACGATAACTCGGGGAGTCTTCAACGTATTAGGCGGTCCACGTGCTCCTCGTGCTCCCACCTTGCTCCTCACCCCGTTGTGCAGGTCAGGTTACTTGGCATGAAAGTTGGGGGAGAGCCACAACCCTTACGAATCTTCAGACCACATGCCGTCCGCGCACAGGGGCTCCCTTGAGCGGTGACGAGGGGTGGCTTCGCTTGCCCTCTCGAATCCAAGGCTCCCTCGTTCCCTTGGCGGAGTTCATTCGCCTTTCTGCTTGCAGGACGTGATGGACTCCATGGCGGCCAGCCAGGCGACGAAAGACCCCCTCCGTTTCTCCTCCGAGCCGTCCCGCCGTACGACCTCGGCGTCGAGTAAGTCCACGACGCTGCCGCTGCTGCAGACGCCGAAGCAGGTGGCCTTTGATTTCGGCCCTCCGCATGCGATGGGCGGGAACATGCGAGGCGCGGTGAGGTTACCCAGAGGAGGAACAGGTATTGACACCGCTATCCTTCCCGCGTTTCCGCCTTTTTGGGCCTCGAAAGCACTCGTCGCCACGGCCTGATTCCAGGAGGGGGTGGCAGCTCCCCAAGGTCTTTTGGACGAAAGAACTCCAACCCCCTTGAGGGGTGCTATGAGGGTTCCCCCCCCCTGGCCAGACATTCCCAAAATCTTGCCTCTGATTTTTGTTTGGGGGAGTTAGGGGGGTCCCCTCGCCCCCCCCTCAGGGGTGCCCCTCAGGGGTGTTTTGGATTGTTCCCCCCCGGGACCCCTATCAAAAGCCAGTCTGAGGTTTTTTGGGGGAAGGTAAGGGAGGTTACCCCCCGGAAACCCAAAGGAAACTTCCTTCAGGGAGGTTATGTGGGGTTTTATTCCCCAGACCCCTCCCCCCCTCCGGTTTTTAGGAGGGGGCTCGGCGGTTTTCACCACGGACCCCGCCAAACACCATCTTCGTTTTTGCGGGGGGGGGGGTACGAGGGTTTTCAATTTCGGACGCCCCAAAACACGTGTTCCCGGATGTGTTGGGGAAGTCAGGGAGGTTTTCCCACCCAGACCCTTGCAACGGAACGGTTCGAAGGGTTTCCCCAAAAACCATCTCAAGGTGCGTGTGCGTGTGTGTGTATGTGTGTTGGTTGGGGAGGGGTACACGGTGTCTCCCAGCCCTGCTGTGTTGGGTTGTCGTTTTGACTCCTATTTCCCCTCGTGTTTCCTCTTCCTCCTCCTCCCTTCTCTCCTTCGTCTTGCTTGCGCCGCCTTGCCACTTTCGTGCGGGGCTCTCCATGTCGCCACGTTCGTGCGCTCCTGAGAGGTCCAGCGGAGTCGGTAGTCACGCAAACCACGTCGAGACCTCGCGGCTCCCTGCGTGACTGCGAAGTGCGCAACTGTCGCCGTTTTCGTGGGGTCCTGGGAGTTCCAGCAGAGTGGAGTGGTAATTACGCGAACCCCGTTGGGACCTCTCCTTGCCTGGCCGCGAAGTGCGCAACTGTCACCACATTCGTGGGCTCCTGGGATGTCCAGCGAAGTGGAGTGGTACGCAGACCTCGTTGGGACCTCGCGGCTCCCTGGGGGGCTTCGAAGCGCAATTGTCCCCATTTTCGTGGGCTCCTGGGAGGTCCACCGGAGTGGAGTGGTACGCGGACCCCGTTGGGGTCTCGCGGCTCCCTGCGCGGCTGAGAAGTGCGCAATTGTCGCCACGTTCGTGGGCTCCTGGTCGGAAACTGGAGCCTATACATTACCCGTGGCGGGCCGTCTTCCAATCCCAGGACTTTTTGAGGGTCGGGGACGACGTCGGGGTGGTGTAGTGTATACTTGTTTCCCTGTACTCCCAGGAAACAGGTTGAAACATGTACACGCCAGGGTCCCGTATACACCAGGCTCCGCTTTCTTGCGCAAAGGTCCGTGCAACAACAACAACGACAACAACAACAACAACAACAACAACAACAACAACATCAACAACAACAACAACAACAACAACAACATCAACAACAACAACAACAACAGCCGCGCCCAGACGGCGCATTGGCAAGGAAAACTGTGACAGATGGCAACGTGCGGGCACATGCAAAACATATACAAAAAACATTAAGCAAAGGTCCGTGCAGGGCCGCATAAAACGTCGGTGTATATATAGAGTGCGATTCCCTACATGGGAGGTCCAGCGGAGTGGAGTTGTACGCAGACCCCGTTGGGACCTCGCAGCGTCCCAGGAGGCCGCGAAGCGCGCAGCCGTCGCCGCGTTCGCGGGCTCCTGGGGGGTCGTGCGGGGTGGAATGGTACGCAGACCCCGAAGTGTGCAATTGTCGCCACTTTCGTGGGCTCCTGAGAGGTCCTCCTCCTCCTCCTCCTCCTCCTCCTCCTCCTCCTCCTCCTCCTCCTCCTCCTCCTCCTGCTCCGGCCGCCGGCTCCCGAGTGGGACCGGCACCCCCATCACCCAGGGGGACCGACGGCCACGCCGGACAAGGTCCCCGCACGCCCGCGCGCCCGGGCGCCGAGCAGACATCGTTGGGACCTCGCGGCTCCCTGGGGGGCTTTGACGTGCGCAATTGTGGCAATTTTCGTGGGCTCCTGGGAGGTCGCGCGGAGCGGAGTTGTACTGGGATCCAGTCAGGACCTCGCGGCGCTGTCTCGTCACGCAGCGCTCGGCGCTGTCGCGTTGCAGCTCGCAGAGAGCCGCTGCGCCATAGCACATGGCGCTGTTGTTTGTCCGCATGGCCTCCCATCCTCAGCTGCCTCTGACCCGCCATGCCACCCTGCACGCTTGCCTCGCTCAGCGCATGGCGTTGTTCGTTCCCGCGTTTGTACGCTCGACGCTGCTGCTGTTACTGCACATGTATGTCACTCCTTTACACCCCTCTGTCTGCTTCTGTCATCGTCCCGTTCTTGCTTACTCCTACATGTTTGTTTGCATACTTCTGGGAGCTTATGCGCACTTCGTGTCCTTCAACGTGTTCGTTTACAGTAAGCGGTCCTATATACACATATGAGAGAGAGCGCTCGCGGCACATTTCTCACTAAAAGGGGGCCCCAGCTTGAAGCTACCGCGCCCCTCCTTTGGAAGGGGGGGGCTTCTGAAGCTACCCCCCCTTTCGTGCTTCTGCGGGCATTTCGGAGTTCGGGGCCCCCAACGCAATAAGAGGGGCTTCCAAGCTACCCACCTTGTTTTTTTCGCTGGGGGGTCCCTGGCTAAAGGGGGGGTGCTTGTAAGCCCCTTCCCCTTTTCGCGGTCTGGGACAAGCCTGGGCTCACCTTTCGCTGCTCCCTTCTTTCTGTTGGCTTTTCCCGCTGGAGGGCCCTGGCTGAAAGGGGGGGGTCAACGCTTTCTTTCTTTTATGGTTTTTCGGCCCCCCGCTAGGTTTTCGGCGCACTTGTGGTTTTTAGGCGTCTCTTTGGTTTTTGGCGCCTCTTTGTTTTGCGGGGCCCCTTTGGCCTTTGGCGCCCCTTCAGTTTTCGGCCCTTCTATGGTTTTCGGCGCTTCTTTGGTTTGCGGCGTCTCCGTGGTTTTCGGCGCTCTTTGATTTTCGGCGTCCTTTCCAGTTTTCTGCGCACCCTTTCTGGGTTTCGGCGCATCCTTGGCTTTCTTCGCCCTCTTGGGTTCCGGCGCCCCTTTGATGGTCGGCGCTTTTTTGGTTTGCGGCGCCCATTTCGTTTTCGGCGTTCTTTTAGTTTTCGGCGCTATTAGTTTTCGGCGCCCCTTTCGTTTTCGGCGCCTTTCGGCTTTCGGCGCGCCTTTGGTTTTTGGCGCCATTCGGTTTTTCGGTGCCGTTTTGCTGATCCGCACCCCCTAGGTTTTTCGGCGCCATTTTGGTTTTCGAGGCACCGTATTTGGCGACCTGGTGGCTGTCGGCGCCCTATCTGGTTGTCGGCGGCCCTTTGATTTCCAGCGCCTCTTTCATCTTCGGCGACCAGTTTTCGGCGCCGTGTTAGGTTTCGGCCCTGTTGTGCTTTCGGCGCCTTTTTGGTTTTCGGCGCTGCTCTGGTTTTCGGGGCCCTTTTGGTTTTCGGCGCACCTCTGGTTTTCGGCGCCCCGATGCAGCCTTTTCTGGTTTCCGGCGCCCCTTAGGTTTTGGGCGTTCTTTGGCTTTCGGCTCCTTTTGGCTTTCGGCGCTCCGTTGCTTTCCGGCGCTTTTTTTTTCCGCGCTCCTTTGGTCTTCGGCACCTCTTTGGCTGTCTGCGACCTCTTGCTTTTCGGCGCCCCTTCGACTTCTAGCGCCTCGTTGGTCTTCGGCGCTCGTTCGGTGTTCGCCCACCCCCCTTTCGGGGGGTTTTCGGCGCCCCTTTGGTGTTTGGCGCCCTCTCGGTTTTCGGCGGTCCTCCGGTCTTCTGCGCGCCTCTGGTTTTCGCGCCCTCTCGGTTTTCGGTGGCCCTGTTGTCCTGGGCGCTCGTTTGGTCTTCGGCGATCCTGCTTGTCGAGATGTTTGAACAGGTGTTGATTATGCCTTATTGTTCTTTCCGAACTCGCTTGGAAGGAGGACATGCCCGACCCAAGGGTAGCCTCCGGAGCGCGAAGGGGGGGGGGGGAGGGAGTAGCTTCCGAAGGGCGGAACAAGAGGCGGGGGGGCCTTTCCGGCAGGAGAGGTCCACGGGGGGGGGGGGAGGGGAGCTAAGTTGTCCCCCCTCTTGAAATCAGAGCGTGGATTACCTACCCCGCTCTCGCCTCCAGGCAAAGCCAAGCCATACCACGCGCCTCCTCGTCAAGCGGCCTGACCAGCACAGGCCGCAGTTTGGCCTCGCTCGGCATCTCTTGGAAGCGAGGGCGGTCAAAAGCGAGGCAGGTTTGTTTTCCCCCTATAAGTTTCCCCCCCCTCTCGAAAGGGAGGGGGCGGGGGAGCTTCCGGAGCGCGAGAGGGGGGGGGGGGGATAGCGTTCGGGGGGCGGGAAAGCAGGGAGGAGGGGTGGGGGGCGTCCAGCAGGGGAGGACCCCCCCTTTGGGAGTGTACCGCGGACGGCGCGCTCTTACAGACAGACATCCATCCATCCATCCATCCATACATACATACATACATGCATATATACATACATACATAGATACATTGATACATAGATACATACATACATACATACGTACGTACATACATACATACATACATGCATGCATGCATGCATGCATGCATGCATACATACATATATACATACACACATGCATACATACATACATACATACATACATACATACATACATACATACATACATAAACACACATACATGCATGCATGCATGCATGCATGCATGCATGCATGCATACATACATACATACACACATACATACATAATACATACATACATACATACATACTTGCGTACATACTTACATACACACATACACACATACACACACGTACACACATAAACACATACATGCATGCATGCATGCATGCGTACATACATACATATATACATACAGGCGTGCATACATACATACATACATATATACACATGCACACATGCATACATGCATACATTCATACATACATACATACACACACATGCATACATGCATACATGCGTACATGCATACATGCATACCTACATACACACACATACATACCAACATACATACATACATACACACATACACTCACATACATACAGACAGACAGACAGACATACATACATACATACATACATGCATGCATGCATGCATGCATGCATGCATGCATGCATGCATACACATGCATGCATACACTCATCTATATGTGTATACACACGCCATATGTTTAGACAGGGGTCGGGCACGACACCGGGTAATTTCCTCCTGGACCCACAAAACAGCCTTCTCTTAGGAGGGCATCTGAGGGTGTTAAAGGAGTCCCCATCTCACGCGCCTGGAGGCCCACAAGGGGCCGGCGGGTGCTCAGAGGAGCCAGACGTCATGCTCATGATACGCTCGGTGATCTCCCAGATTCTCTAGGTCTCCAGTTGATCCGCACGGGCTCCAGGAGCGAGGCCCGCCAGATTCCCCGGGACTCCAGCGCACCCCTGGGCCAATCGCGTCGTGACATCGTTCTCGTCATTACCAGCGCGCGATGTTGGGAACCAGCCGCGTTGAGCTCAAGCTGGGCGCAGCGCACTCCGTCGGGAACCACTTGGCTGCACTTGACGCGCAGAAGGCCCACGAAGGAGATGGGCCGACACAGTCAAGGGCTACAGCAACCTTTGAGGCGCTGAGGCGCCACCCTTCCGTCCTCAGAGGACCGCGCCCCGGCGCGAATGTGAGTGACGGAAGAAATGGCGACGTCTTCGCCGACATTGGCGCGCAAGTTGCCCGCGCAAGGTCACGCGCAAGCGCCCTCGTTGTGCGTGCGTGCGTGCGTGCGTGTGTGCGTGCGCGTGTGCGTTTGTGTGCGCGCGTGCGTGCGTGCGTGTGCGTGTGTGACGTGCCGCGCCCCCCTGGCCAGCGTCAGCCGCGGCCTGAGGCCGCCGTGCTGTCTCGCGCGCGCCCTGGCTCTTCTCGTCTCTGATGTTCCCGCTGTCGCCCTGGTCGCCAGACAAGAATTTCGAGCACCAAGACAGTACCGAAACGGGAGGGTGTTCACGTGTCGGGCCTTGGGAGGCGATATTCGCTCGACACTGTTTCGATACTTTCCTGGGTGCCCGAAGCTATTTCTGGGATGCGAAATTCTTGTCGTTGATGTGAGCGTCCGCCTGGATATGTTTTGACTATGTTTTATGTTTCGGCCAAAATTCCCAGGAGGGAATAGACACACACACAGACACAATTAATCGTCGACCCCCAGGATAATATAGGAAAATATGGGAAGCGGGGGGTAAGACGAACATCCAGAAAATATGAAAACATGTGGGGAACCTTGTTATGTGCGTGTATTTATCTGTGTGTCCCTGTGCCCCTTGACATCCGCCTGTAGGGGCACGTGCCCGACCCGACCCCAACCAGGGGTGGCGGCGCGGGGGCGCGAAGGGAACCGCGCGCCGCCCACCGCGGGGCGTCGGTGTCGTCGGCGTCGTCGTCCATCGCCGTCGGCGTCGCCGTCCGTCGCCGTCCGTCGTCCGTCGCCGCCGCCGTCGGCGTCGGCGTCGGCGTCGGCGCGCGGCGAGAAGCAGCGCGGCTGCCAGATCAGAGACTGCGCGGTGCGTCAGGCCGTGTCGGACGGCCTCGGGGCGCGCCCGCCCTCCCAGGGGGGGCGTCTGGCGGCGGGGGCGGCTCGGCCGCGTCCCTGCCTAGGCCGCGGGCCCCAAGGGGCCTCCCAGGGTCGAGGCGGTCAAGTCCCTCCACAGGGGAGGGAAGATTCAAAGAACAGCTTATAAAGGTCATCTGGGGGCGATGTTTCTACTATCTTGACCATTTCTGAATATTGTTGGACGATGTTTCCAGTTTCTTGCACTCTGCCTGTAGGAGGACATGCCCGACCTGATCCCAGGGGTCGGCTCGGCCTGATGATCATTTAATCGGTATGCAGATGTGCGTTGGGATGTCTGGCCGTGATGCTCGAGGTGTTCCCCCACCACGTCGGACGTCGCGACAGGAACAGCAGTCAGTACGATCGGAATTGCGAATTACGGAAAGAATGGAAACGTTTGAACAAAATTCGTTGCCAGCGTCGCCGCGGACGTTGTCAATGCGAGACAGAATTCGTTTGCCCCACAGCGGCCGGTGCCGATGTTGGACAACATGTGGAGTTGGGCAGCGTACCCAGTTTGTTCCGTACATACATTTTTTTTGTGTGTGGGTGGGTGCCATGAAGCGCACGGATGTTTCGTCGTGTTCTTCGAGATGAGTGTTCCCCGACGTCGGATGTCTGGACAGGGACCGGCGTGAGGCAGGAAGAGCGGGCGTGGGTTTTTGGGCCGTCTCGGGGCCCTCTTGGGCCGTCTCGGGGTCCTCTGGGGGGCCTTTTTGGGCGGTCTTGGAGGTCCCCTGGGACGTCTGAGAGCGTCGGAGGCCAGGAAGGTGGAGAACCCTCAAACATTTGAAAAGCCTAGAGAGAGAGAATCAATGATGTTGGGGTCTCTGGGGTCCTCTTGGGAAGGCTGCTGGTGCTCTTTTGGGGGCGTCCCCGAGGCTTCTCGCGCCGTCTTGAGGCCACCTCGGGCGTCTTGGACAGCTCTTGGGCCGTCTCGGACGCCTCTTGGACCCTACCTGGGGGCTTCTGTGGGCCCTCTTCGCCAGCTTCGGAGACCTGTTGGGCGGGGTCACCGTCCCAGAGGCCCATGCGACACACCCCTGGTAGCGCCCTGCAGCGCGCGGGAAACTGGGTTCCGGGCCTTTAAGGAAATTCACAAACGTTATTTGGTAATCCCCAAACGTGGTGGTGACAACACCTGGCGGTGAGTCTCGGGCGATTTGGTGCCACCACCTGGTTTGGGGACTCGTGCGGTTTTCCGAGGATGTCCCGGACACTGGCGTGTCCAGGAGTCACAAAGCCCGGTGGTGACCCCGCGTCCCCAAACCCAGCGGTGATCGGGGGCGGAAAAGAGGGGGGTGATGACTAGGGGGGGGTGGATATCATGGCGTGGGCCATGATATTTCCCCAGATTTCATGGCGCCTCTTCTTATTTCATTACGTCCCTGGCCCCCCCGCTGGGCCGCGCACATGCCGCCAGTCATGATTTGCACCCCCCCCTCTTGGACACCCCCCTCTTTGCCGCTCCCGAGGTGACCTTTTGGGGGATTCCAGGTCGCCACCTGGCATATCACCACCCGGTTTGGGGGTTCCCAGGTTATCATTTCTCGGGGCTGCACGAGCTTCGGGGCACTCTCCACTGCGTGCTGAAGGCACGGTGGCGGGTAGATGGTAGGGGCATCTCGTTCGGCGTCCCCACTGCGAAAGGAAGTTGCCCTCCATGAGTGTGTGTTGCTGGGCATGTAAATTCGGCCGTAGCCCTTTTGCGGGAGGTTCCAGAGAGAGAAAGAGGGGGAGAGAGAGAGAGAGAGAGATAGCCCAAGAGATGATGGGGTATGGCGAGGAGAAATACGAGGAACAGGAGGAGACGGGGGAGGAGGAGGGGGGGGATTGGGAAGGGGATGAACGAGGTGGACCAGTTTAAACCCAAGACTCATCAAAGATAATTACTGGAATACCCCCTCCCTCAACGCTCCCTCTTCACATGCCCCTACAAGGGTCCATTTCCTCTGAAGGAAGTGCCCCGTTGGGGGACAACCGTGTCAGAACCCTGAAGCGTGCCAAAACAACACTTTCAGAATTTCAACGCCACGAGTCAACCTGACTCATGTGTCTTGACTATGCATAATCGTGCCAACAAAAAACTTCCTGGGATTTCGGCACCGCGAATCAACATAACTGTTGCGCCCTGACAATCCTGAGTCGATACAAATCACCGCTTCTGGTACATTATCCAGCAGAGCCGATGAAATTCTTGCCACGTTTTGAAACGAATGTGCGCGGCGCCAAAGCGATAATCACATGTTGAAAACCGTCCGCCCTCAATCCATGAAACCTTTGTGCAAGGTTTTTAAACGAACGTGCGCGGTGCTTAGGCGAGAGCCACATGTTACAAATCACCCGCTCTCAATCTGTGAACTTCTTGCAATTGTTTACGCCCAGCGCGCGCGGCGCGAGGGCGACTGCCACTTTTAATAAGCGAGCCGCTGTCCGTTTGGCAGATTGCTGCCAGCCTGGAAGCTTCGGGCCCAAAAGCGGTAAGCGAGAATCCGGCGGAACGCCCAGCCCGCCTCTGCGAGTGGCCGCGGGGTGCGACATGGGAAGGGTTATCCACAAGGACAAAGATCAGGAGGGACAAAAAAACACAGACACAATTAATCATCGATTCCCAGGAAAATATGGGAAAATATGGGAATTGGGGGAGAAGACAAAAACCCAGAACATATGGGAAAATATGGGGACTAATTTTATTTGTGTGTATTTATTTGTGTGTCCTAATTTCCCTTTAAAAGAATGGCGGAAACGGGGAGGGGAGAAGTGGGAGGAGGAGGGGAAGGAGGAGGAAGAGTTACGGAGTTACGGGTATGGCGACTGGGTCGTCTACGAGTGGAAGCAGATTCGACTGACTGCTTCCTGGCTCTTCTGGCCTGTTCCCTCTTACTGAAGACATCAGGCCACGGCCCCTGGAGGATACGCTTACGATAGTCAATTCGATTACCGTCGAGGCGTGTGCTGCATTCCTGACCGAGCTGTGCAAGCTGTTCGGCTGCATAACCCCCGCAAACGTTACAGAACCACAACCTCCGCCCCGTGTGATACCGAAGTGTGTGAGACTCATGAGCGTGCCCCCCCCTTATGTGCACCCTTCTCCCAGGAGGAGGTCTGCTAATGACGGAGGAGGAGGAATAGGAGGAAGAGGAGGAGGAGGAGGAAAAGAATGAGGACGAAGAGAAGGAGGATGTGGAGGAGGAGGAGGACGAGAAGGAACAGGAGAAGGAGGTACCGAGCGATGGAAGCGCGAGTCCGAACTAACAGACACGCCCCAGCAGCATGCAACACGGAAGTTGCACTGCAGGGCATGAAAGTCGTTGCATCGCACAGCTCTTTCTCAACAGCCGTGTCCCCACCTCATCGGCCAAGCCAACAGAGGAGAGTAGGCGTCGAAGGTGCCACTAGGAGCAAGAGGCACCGGTGCGAGGATGAATACCGCGCATCGCACGAGAAAAACGCATTTCATCGTTGGCGCGAATGGACGAGACGTCCGAGTGCCCGTTGCATCTGGCTTGCTACAATTTCTTGTTGCGGCCGCCGGCTACGGAATAGTCGCCACTCGCAAGACAAATTACCACCGAGCCGAATTTCTCGGCTACGCGGCCCAGATCCTTGCACACATCCACCTCCCCGTCGACCCCCCCGGCGGCGACGACATCAGCCCGCCTTCCCCTCCACACGCCCATCCTCGGGGCTGGAGGCGTCCTCGAGGTCCACGAGCAACACGCACGGCTTCGGCAACTGCGGCCGAGGGGTGGCGCCAGGATCCAGGAGTGAAATGGAAGTGCTTGGCCGCCGAGACACTCTGCAAGGGCGATTGTGCGCGGGGGCGCGCGCGCAGCGCCTTCAGGGAGGCAGGGGCACGAGCCCAGCGGCTGCAGGCACGGCAACGACGTTCCGAAAGCTGGACGCAAGCCGTGAGCTCGTGGGTCTCAAGGGCCACAATTGGGGCTGGATCAGGAGGGGAAAAAACACACAGACACAATTAATCGTCGATTCCCAGGAAAACATGGGAAAATATGGAAAGTGGTGGGGAAGACAAACACCCAGAAACTATAGGAAAATATGGGACATAGTTTTATGTGTGTGTATTTGTTTGCGTGTCCCAGTTTCCCTTCACTGGAGGGGGTGCTCGCCTGGGCGCGGGCGCACCAGCGTGCGGCTGGAGCTCATCGGCCCTCCGCGCCGCTGCACGGGCCGTCCGTGAGGACACCCGGGCATCCCTGCGGGCCTCGGCCCAGGCGTGGCCCGTGGACGCCCGCTGAGGCTGGCGAGCCGCGGCGGAGCACGAGCAGAGCAGCAGCAGCGGGGGGGAACGTCAGGGAGGGGAAAGGGGGCAGGGGGACAGGGGCGGGAGGGAAATGGAAAGGAGGGAGAGGGGCAGGGGGACAGGGGCGCAGGGGGAGCTTTCAAGGAGGGAAGGGGAACGGGGGAGTGCCGCACTTCCTTCCCGTTGCCCCTTTTTTCTCTCCCTCAAGGAGGGAGAGAGGGACAGGGGGAAAGAAGCGCGGCAGGAGGGGGGCGAAGGGGGGGGGGAGGTGGGGGGGGGGCGGAGGAGCGAGGGGGGCAGGAGGCGCGTGGGAAGGGAGGACAGAGAGGCGCGGAAGCAGGAACGGGGGACGGGGGGGGCGACAGGAGGAGGAGGCGGGGAGAGGCGAGGGGAAGGAAGGAGGGAGCCAAAGGATCGAGGGTCGAGGTTTTTGGACGTGTTCGGCCCTATGTTTCACCCCTGGCCGTGATCTTTTCTGGTGTACTCCAGATTTCGTAATAAAGGGGGGGGGGTCTCATTCCGGGGGGGGGGGTCTCTTCCAGGCTATCTTGGAGGGCCTGGGGGGGTCTGGGGACGATGTTTTGGAGGGTTCTCCCACGGGGGAGGTCTGAAGTGGCTTGTCTTGGAGGGTCCAGACCCCCTCCCTTTTATTACGAAATCTGGAGTACACCTTGGGCGATGCTTAAGAAAACCTAAGTTTTCGGCCAGAGTCTCGATTATTCTGAACGTTTCAATGTAAATCCTAAGATTTGAATGGACATTTTGGGTTTTTATTCAAGTTCTGAGACTATGAATTTCTTAACCCATGATTTCTAAAGCATTTCGCAGGGAGTACCGTTTCACTTACAGCATAAAGGTTTTCATTCCGCCGATTCCCATCACAGTGAGCTCGCCGAGAGTCGCGCCGCCGCGCCCGGCTCGCGGGTCGGGAGCCTCGGGGGGGTGCCTCCGAGGGCCTCCCCGGAGGGCTCCTCGAGGGCGGCTTGGAAGGGTGTCATGGGCATGTGCTAGCTTTGGGGGAGTCCGCGGGGGGCTATTGGTCGGGGGTGGGCAGAACCCCCAACAGTGACACGTCGATTAGTGAATTGTCCGTTTTCGGTTCTCGAGAGGGCGCCGCGGCCGTTATTTTCCAGGCTTGCGCCCGCCAGGTTTGGGCCTCAGGTCGTTTTCACTAAACCACCTTTTACTAAAGGGGGGTCTGTCCATCCCCGAATTGGGTGCCTTGCGGGGGCGCTGCGGGAGTTTTTGGGGGCGCTCTCGGGGACATCGCGCTGCCCCTCTTGGGGCCGTCGCGTGGGCCCCTGGGGCACACTCGGGCCGTCTTGTGGCCCCCTAGGGGGCCTCGCGGGCCGTCCAGAGACGATCTCGGTGGTTCCCTGGGCCGCAGTGGACGCTGTCAAGACGAACGCGTGTGTATATCGACAGCGTTGTTGCCCCGAACGGATTCAGACGATTTGTGCGTCTTGGGACCCTTTCGGCGGTCCTCGTAGGCCGTCTTGACGCAATCTTGGCCCGTCGCGGGATTCACCATGGGTCGTTTTGGGCCTCCTTGGCTGCCCCAGAAAATCCCCGAGGCGCGTTGGCGAGCTCGCGTTCCCCCCCCCCCCCCTTTCCCCGAGCACCCCCTTGGGATCCTCCCCGCGCTGTTGTCGGCCCCACGGCGAGGGGAAGGGGGAGGGGGACAGCCAATCATCACGCGCGCCTTCTTTTCCCCTGGCAAGCGGGGGTCGGCGCATTCTGTTTAGCTTTAAGTCGGGCCTGTCCCCCTACAGGCGGGTTTTCGACTGAAAAGTAAAAAAAAAAAAAAAAAAAAACATATTCCAAAATTAGTCTGGGGACCAGTTTTTTAGTATTTGTTGACATGTTTGGTGTATTTTTAGTATTTTGCATTTTTCGCCGAAAATCCTCCTGTAGGGGGACACGCCCGACATAAGTTTAGCTCCTCCTCCACGCTCATGGGCGCAACCAGGGTTTTTGTTCGCACTGAGAAACGCTGGTGCGGATGGAGTAGGCTGCGTCTGGCGCACGTGCGCTTGGCACGCTTGTTCTTTCTCGCGTGCCCATGCCACCAGAGGGGATCTCTAACCGGCGGCCGTCAGCATTGATGATCGAGCAAGTTGCGGGGATATCTCGAGCGAAGGCCTCGCCCGAGAGCGAATTGCGAGGACGTTGTGAGCGGGTGGGTCCGTCTGCGAGGGCGAGGAGGGGAGGAATTGAACTTGCGCGTTTCGAGATGGGTTGTTTCCGCCCGACGGCTGAACCCACATGTTTCCACGTGGTTGTGTTTCCCTCGCCCGTGAGCTCACCCCGCGTTTTTGTTACATGGTCTTCGTTCGCCCGTGAGTTCAATCCGCATGTTTTGTCATGGTTCGTTTCGCCCCTGAGCTGGGACCACGTGTACTCCAGATGTCGTGATAAAAGGGAGGGGGTCTCGACCCTCCAACACAAGCCACTTCAGACCCCCCCCCCCATGGGAGAACCCTCCAAAACATCGTCCCCAGACCCCCCAGGCCCTCCAAGATAGCCTGGAAGAGACCCCCCCCCCCGGAATGAGACCCCCCTCCCTGTATTACGAAATTTGGTGTATGTGCTGTCGGAGTGGTCCCTTCCGCCCGTGAGCTGAAACCCCCCTATTGTCAAATGGGCTTCTTCTCGCAAGGGTGTTGCACACACACACACACACACTTACACACACTTTTGTTTACACTTGTTGCTTTCGCCCACGAGTTGAAACCATGCGTTCGTACACGGCACGGCCCTCGTCTGGATGCGACGTGTTTCGGTCCGCTCTGCGCCAGTTCGTCGCGTGTCGGCCTGCCGCGTTTCGAACCGCCCACCGCCGGTGCGTCTCACCTCGGCTCGGGTCCGCCCTCTGTCGGTCGGGTTCGCGTCGCAACGGAGTTGGATGTTGAGCTCGCGGTGGTCGGGTGCCTTTTTCACGTTTTGGTTGCAACCAGGTGGTGTGGGCGAGCCATGCGTCGAGGACGCTCCAGTTTCAGACCCATGTCCGTTTGGCCATGGTTCGGATATTCGAAAAGAACATAACCCAGCGCAACACAGCATCACGCAGCACAGTTCAGCACAGCAGGGATCAATCGCGATGTGTGCCACGATCGCGGCCCGGGGGGCGATCATCGTTTGTAATGTACGAGCGGGTTTGGGCCTTCAGAGTGCGGTTCCTTCGGTCAGAAACCTATATTATATCAGCAGGGTGAACCGAAACGCATTCGGTTCGTCTCAGTCACGGTCCGATGTGTTTCGATTCGACTAGGGTTGGTTCGTCCGTCGTCTCGGTTCGTGTTGTTTGGGCTCGTCTTGTTCCAGTTCGTCGCGTCTCGCTTTGCCGCGTTTCGAACCGTCCATTGTCGGTGTGTTTCGCTTCGGTTCTGGTTCGTGTCTTGTTGGTTCGTTCCGCGTCGAAACTGCAGCGGATCTTGAGCTCGAGCTGGTTGAGCGCCCCGCACGTTTCGATTGCAACATGGGCGAGCTATGCGTTCAGGTAGCTCGCGCCCAGGACCCGTAGTGGTTCGGTTCGGATTCGGATGCCAAAGACGACGTCGTCCACAGGGCGACGAAGCACAGCTCAGTTTAATTCGGCATGACACATCCCAATTCAACGCGATACAGCACAGCACAGCCCCTGGCGGTACACCATCGATCTATTCGGAATCAGGTGTTTTGAAAACGTTTCCAAACCTTCCATATCTATATTCATTTCTGGGTTCGTGGGTGGATCATGTTTAGCGTTTCCGTTGTCGTTGTGATTTTGTGGTTTTCATGATGGACCTTCAATGTTTCAACGGGAAGTGCCGAAATCCGGAAATATATTTCCCGGTTGTTTCAAGTAGACCGCGTACGCATTGGTTCAGGGCCAGACCC